AAAAAAACATAATGTTCGTCGACTTACACTCCAGCGTTGCAGTATGGAAACCTATCCATGTACTTCTTGAGTATATCTGCGCTTGTACTGTACTGCTGCTCATCTAAAGAAAAATTACTTTTCAGTAGAACTAGAGAGAGAAATTATACACATCACATTCCTCACCTGTCAGTTTCAACAGTACGACTATCACATCGAATACAGATAGTTCTAGTTGTTCACGCTCTTCCCATAGCTCAAATAGAGCATCCAGTAGAGGACAGAGAAAGCGAATCATCTGAAGAGAAAGCAATCTACGTGACTCGGAAATTTAGAATGAAAAACCAACCTCATCTTGCAACTCTCCAAAAGGGGCACCGAGTGTATTCAAAGAAGTATTCAGGTTCGGTCTAGACTCTCTGCAAATCTAATCATTTGAAAAACATATGGGTTAGTCACAAAGCAGTACTGCATCCGGACCTCCATCCAAGAACATTGAGAATGTGTTCATTTTGTGTAAGAAGCGTCGAACATGTAAGTGTATTAATGACGACGGAGCTCTTCTCGCTCAATGAAAAGACAGAAGAATGTGGTTTGTTGGTGGTGTTGCCAAGATCTCGAAGCACTCTGAAAGTTAGACGATGTGAGAATAAGAACGGAAATGCTAGACGTGATATGATAACGGATATAGGTCATTCTGTGTTTGAGGAAATCACAAATCATCCTTTATGTAAATCACAAGTGCAAAAGAAAGAAAGCCATGAGCGAAGAAGAAAAGATTTTGTAAAAATTGATAAACGAACCTTTTCGTCTGTGGCAAAGGCAGATAGCTGGTATTGCCTTCATCATAGTGCGAGGATTCAATCTGAATTTAGAGTTACAGTTTTCCACTTCAACAAAATGAGTGCCTCTCTCACCTTATACACCAACAGTTCGTGATCTCCATCAGGAACGAGCACAGATTTACACATTAATCGAATATGCGCCAACGCAAAAGGCCCTTTCTCAGGTTTACCCTTGTCATAGGGCTTTCTTGAATAAAAAGTGATTCGCAGGTGTAAATCACGGCTTATGTCTTCAGGAAGTCGGATCTTAAAACTAGCGGATGCACCACAGTCACAGAGCAGAAAGAGTGCACATACCTTAATATTTTCAAACCACATAGGTTTGTCTTCATGTATGTAGACAAAGCTGCGATAGTCCGAAGACGACTTCAACGATCCGGCACTTACCGTTTCGAAAGACTGAAACATCGGCTCTAGATTCCAGCTGGTGAAATTGAAAAAGAGTGGAAACGTACATCAGGGACCACCCTTCCATTGCCTTCGACAAGATGTAATCGAGCTTCGATATTTCTATCCGATGACTTCCCAGACAGTTCCCCTTGTAACAAAGTCACGTAAAGTTCGTTCCGGACATCAACTGAAGATCACAGAATTACCATGCATGAAGAGAGACAGGCATAGAAACAACCTGTAGCGGGACCAGCATAATCACATCGGGAGATGATTGCCGGAGGGTTTCTCGTGAATAGATATGGCCTTTTCAAACGTAGCTCTGACAACCCATTGGTGAATATTTGCGTCGATATGAGCATTTTGATATCATCTTGAAGATAAATAATGATTGTGTGCAACCGCCAATCAAACCCACCTGATGACGTGCTTGGCTTCGGTACTTTACAAGTGGTCTGCATAGATTTCAGAGCCTGATCAAAATTTTGATCCCTAAACTTGTGAAAATAAGCTATATGACATCAAAGGTTTTCAATGATGCTAACCTAGATAGAAATATCACTTTATCTTTAGCATCGTGTGAAGGTTGTGGGTTGGAAAAGATGGACGTCATATCGAAGAAATCAAAAGCGAAGACTAGAAAATATACACAACTCATGAAATGCTCGAAAAAATGTGTATACGAATTCAAAAAAAAAAGAACCAGAAACTGGAAAACATACTCTGACGACAGTAGAGGTTAGGTGGTCCCGGTTCCTGATTTCTCCTCAATGTCGATGACGTGTGTTCTACAGGAGAGATGTGGGCTATCCTGGTGACTAACACCAAGCGTTTGCCGATGTCGGTTTGATTGAAGTTCTGAAATAATAATAAAAAAA